TGGTCACCAGAGCACCGTTGATGGGCGATCCTGCGTCTTTATGTAACGCGACCGTTTATTCCCGCAATTGCTCTCCGCCTTGCTCAGTTCGGCAGCAGCGTTATAACCTTCTAATCCCGTCGCAAACTTTCCTGCAGCACTGATATCATGAATCGGTCGCTGATTTGATGTTAGCTCGATTTGGTTCTCCTACACGTGTGCGCAACCTCGTTCTCTTATTTGGTCGTTCCCAAAATTGGAACCTTCCCCCTGTAAGCAGCGTGCCGAATTCCCGAGTCGTGCGGAGAGGCTTGGTGATTGATGGGGGCCATGAAGATTTGGAGCAGAAGAGACTGACTGACACGTTGCCCAATGAACATTGTGCCCAATCCCCCCCCCGTATGAAAGATTTCGGTGTTAAATTAGGCTTTGTGTGTCCAGATAGTAAGCCCGTAAATTGACCTTGCTGCAAGCCACCAAACCTACCAGACGCGTTTGGAACAATTTAAACTAATCCATGGCCACGAGCACTCGGGCCGTCGCTCATCTGTACAAATTCCTCGCTCATAAACGAATTCAGCCCATCCCCGAAAGGCTGCAAATCGGTCCATAGTGCGTTCCAGTCTATCGGCTTCCCGGCCTTTTGAGCCTCCATCTCTGACAGCGCCTGTCCAAGTTGCACAATATATGCAGGCGTTTCCAAGCTACCGCCTCGTTGAGCCACCGCTATCTTTCGGGCTTCCCAAGCTTTGAGCGTGAACTGCGCCTGCATAAGTTGCTGTCTTTGGCTCATGTCAAATAACTCGGGGTAATGCCCATGGAGCCTTTCCACAGCGCGCCAGCCACGGTCAGAGAGGGATCCCACGGGGCGCCGGTACAGCTGGCTGGTCAAGGAAGCGAGCATATCGGGGTAGAATTGCAGCCTCATATACCATTCGAACCCCACAGCTGCCATTTTATCATGCGCATTGCATTGGTACTCCATGCTCAGGATAATCATCTTAAACAGGTTGTCTTTCCAGTTGAAGATCTCGATTCCCCATTCTTCTTGCTCCTTTATTGGGCTGAGAACATCGTCGAGTTTCTCCAGAATGGTTGTCTTCAAAATGGTAGCCGCCACGTGGACTTTTCCAGCCCCGTCGCCGATATACTTTGCCGTGTAGCTCTCTAGCGCTCGCCTTAGTTCCTCGGATTGTTCCCGAAACTTTCCAAACACAGCTCGGTCGGTATTTTCATCGTTTGTCAAGCTCATCCCCAGTAAGATTGCTTCGTTGGTAGGCGTGTCTATATGGTTGTCACAGTCAATCTTGTACGCGTAAATCAATCGCGCAACGAGGACATATGCCATTTCAGTCGGTCCCTCGCGAGATACTATTGGAGAGTCGCTACTGGGGCTCATGTCAGCGTCGTTTATATTCAAGGGCGGCTTTGTATCCCATTGCATGGGGAGCATAGCGGCACTGAGTCCAGACAAGAGAGCATTCTTAGCATCCTGGATAATGATCTGACACCAAATTCTGCGACGCATTTCGGTTTCGAATGTACCTAGTCCAAGGCATTCTCCGTCGCGGTGATAGCCCATGGAGTACGCCATCCTTACTACGATGCCGCTGGTGACCCAGGAAGCGTGTCTGTGAATTCTGTCCTCGAGGGTCAACTGGTTTGAGCGTTAGAGGTTGTATGCAAGTTATTTTAACGTCTGATACTAACCAAATACAGTATCAATGTTTGAAGGGTGATCATTGTGTAATTCTCCCTATGATTATACTTCATCAGTGCCCTTTTGGTACTGCCACCATAGTGTTTCAGCATGGTATCGCGGCTGTGTCCTAGGAAGTCAAAACACTCTTTCTCTGACATGGATATCACAGCCATCGCATATATCGAATAGAGAAGCGCTTGGTACTCAATAGGGACCAAGTGCATCCCCACCGCCGCTCTCATTACATACGGTTCCAGAGTTGGAACATGGACAATTTTTGTCAGGGGATTAACTCTCTCGAGGAAATGCTCCCAGAGATTCATGGTTTCAACAGGGCCGGGCTGAGTGTCTGGTGTGTCAGATGCTGAGGTTTCAAACTCGGTGATTGGGAGTGTCTTGTATGGTGACTCATATGTGCTCTCTATGGGCCCATCATCCGCAGAGTCATCCGACTTGATGCTATTCTGAATTGCAACCAACTATTCCACCGTTAGAAGATTGCAAGTTAAGGACAATGGGTCATCCTTACCTCCTCGTGCATTACAACAGTGCCGAAACTATCAGTGAATCTGACACTGCCATCATTTCTTGTTGTGATGTATGATGCGTTCAGTTCCTGCGCCGACGAGCTGGGTTCAAAAGAGGCGCCGGGCGGATCGTCTGGCACATGGTTGCTCGAACTAGGTGTCTGCAGTCTGTCGACGACTGGCGCATATCCCTTGAGCAAGGCTTCACATCGCTCCACTCGCTCGAGAAGATCCTGCTTCGTCGCGCGTCTCTTCCGCGCCGGCGCCGGCGTACTAGGTGTGCAGAGAACCTCCGCCTAGGCGAAGCATCAGTCAGACGCATGCGGTTTCCCGGCGAACCCAGACGTACCTTGACGCAGTTGGAACATGGGCTGCAACGATCGCATTTTACCTTGCGCTTTTGACACTGAGCGCAGGATAGTACCCGAGGCTGTTTCAAGACTTGGATCAAATTGCCCAATCCATCTGCCGATGCCTGCGTGTCCATTGATGCCGAGCTTCGTGCCAGTTGAATAGGCTTCACGGCTTTCGCCGGTGTGGTGATTCGAGGAATGTCAATCAGACGATTTATCGCAATAAGCTCATGAGAGCTCGTTCTTGTGGCTATACATGGATGCACATTTCGTTTCAACTTCCAAGAGGTGTAAGCTGTGATGATTACCAACCTGAGGTTGCGAATTTGCGAAAGTTCAATTCGCCCACACAGTGTAAATTTCACAGTGTAGTCGAAGAAATGTATTATGTGGCGATGAATGTTTCACACCTTGGCCAATGTTCAATGTTCCACCTTTGCAAACGCCGCTCACCATATCATTAAAGGGGGTGTTTTTCCAACACGAATATTCTATTCCAATAAGGGCAAAAAAAAAAAGTTTTGGGCATTCATACCCGTTCGCGTCTTAGGTTCCCAGACGTCTCTTTTCCAGCCATATTTCTCTGGGCGACTCTACAAACTCCAACCCGCGACCAATTCGGCACCCTCCTCAGATCTCGGCTTCATCCACGTCGTAGAGCAATTGTCTCTCCGTATTGGCCAAAGAATTGTACCCGACCAATCTGGAAACCCAGAAATAGGCCCAAATAGCGGTTTCTTTCAACCACAGCCCCCATTCGCTCGACCTTCTCCGCACCTCTGAGTTTTTTGTCGCCTGCATCGTAATTTCGTTGACTCGAGGACGCCGAATCCTGTCAAATGCTGCGAATGCATCTTCGAGAGATCTGTCAGGGTCCTCTAGCAGCCTTGCGATCATGAATACATCTTCTGCGGCCATGGAGACACCCTGACCAGCATGAGGGGCCATGGCATGAGCAGCGTCTCCCAAAAGAAGACACCGACCTTTGTACCATTTCCCTCCCGAGGCTAGCTTGTATACAGGATAGAATCTCACGACCGAGGTCTCTTGTACCATTGCTCTCATAATGTTTCCCCACTCTCCTTTGGCGTCGCTTATCAGGTCCAACAGGTCATTCTTGAAGCCGGCGATTTCTTCTTCACGCTTAACTTCCCACCCGTCTCTTGTGTCTCCCATTTTGGGCAGAGGAACCTCTTTGGAGAACGCCCAGAGCGCTTCGTCGTCCTTTGCAGAGCAAGACATGGTGAGAAAGACGCCTTGCGTTGTGAATGTAGCGTTGATGCCCTTGAGCTCGTCTGCCGAGCCTTCCGGCAGTGCAGATATCGGAAGCAGCGCAAACAAACCGGAAAATCCAGTGTATTCGATGGCATGTTTGGGATCGACGTATAGTTTTCGAACAGCGGAGTGGATTCCATCGCATCCGAGTAGGAGGTCGCCCGTGTCTGTGGTTCCATCTGAGAACGTGACCTTGACCTCGTTCTCGCTCTCTTCAATCTCAATAATCTTTTTCCCATAGTGTATTGGGATCTTAGCCTTTTCGGCAGCTTTGAGCAGGACTTGAAGAAGATCAATGCGCTTGATACGGAGGTAGCCAATTCCCCCGTTCTGCTCACGAACTCTGCCGACAATGTCCTGCGTGGTGATGATATCACCTCTTAGAGATCGTAGATTCACCATTGAATGACTGCTACCGCGTGATAAGAGATCATCGTATACACCGAGTCTGTGGAATAAGCGGAGGCCGTTGGGTAATAGCCCGACAGCTCCCCCGAGAGTGGTGGGTTCAGGACGTAATTCGTACACGGTCGAGGTGACATCTGTGATTTGTTGCAATCGTAAAGCAGCGGATAGACCAGCTGGTCCACCTCCAATTATAATTGCCTAGCCCTTGTCAGTTTTTGGTACACAGATGGGGAGAGAACACGCATACTTTTCTCATTTTGCCTTGTAGTCAGCAGGGTGTTTTGCTGTTCTTTAGAATATTTGCTGGTGATAAGAACCGTTTTGATTGAGGGTCAATCATCTTTAAATACTCTCTCTTGTGTCGTCATTCGGGAAAGACCGTCAGCCACGGTCACCCATCGTGGTCAATCACTGAAGCTTAACACCACGACCGTATTTCCCCGCGGCAGATATTTCTCAATGCAGTTAGCCGTCCGCGGTGAAGTGAAGAAGCCAATCAAACGGCGCTAACGGTATAAGGCATGCCTCGCCGCGGTATCTCTCCGCGGCCCTCTCCCGCCAACCTTGCTCACGCATCTTCCACTAGCAACCACCAAGCCGCATCACCATTAGACGAAGTCGGGCATCAAAGACGCGAAATGATGCATCGGTGGGGCCGGTCGCCTCTTTCATGTCGGCCGTGTCGGGCCAAGAAGCGCCGTTGCGACAGGCAGCGACCATGCTCAAGCTGTACGCTACGAAACATCGATTGCCAGTATGCTTGCGATGACCAAGATCGCCCAACACTGGGACAGCAGCCACAAGAGGTATGCTCTCGTGTCGCTTATGCCCACTCTGCAACAAATCATACAGACGTCAAGTATGGCAATTTATCCACCAATCCGCCTGAGAGGGCCATGGACATCCGTTAACCTGCTGGTTTTATTAGGCATTCTGATGATGTTTTGCGCCGCCTGCAGAGGCTGGAGCAGGCAGTTTTCAACCAGCCTCGTCAGTCACTAGAGCCGCCACAAGTGGATAAATCAATTCCAAGAGTCCCGTCAATAAGTGAGATGGTGATTCTCCTATTATTATTATTTTTTGACTGAACAACAAGTCTAATTCAATATTTTAGGATTCACCGCATTCGGAATCCATCTGATGATCCCAAAGCCAGACGAAGCCGAGGAACAAAGGGTCTACATGGAAAATTTAGCCAACAAGCTACCTCCACAAGCTCAAGCAAGGCTCCTGCTTGAACACTTTGCGAAAACCTCCCACCCGAATAGTTGTATTCTACATATCCCATCATGCCGTACCTTGCTGGAGCAAACTTATGAGAGCATATGCACGGGAGGAATGCCTCCAGTCGAAAATTTGCTGCTGCTGTTCGGCATTTTTGCAGCGGCTGCATTTCATTGGTCCTCAGAACTTCTTCAGAGCCTCCACGCGACACGTGCGGAAGCAAAGGCTGCCCTTTTCGAATATCTTCGGGTAGGCGTGTCTATTATTGACAACACCGTGCGACCAATCATTCCATCCACCAACGCCCTGGCAGCCATGTGCAACCTACATAATGTGATTACGCATGCTCGAGGACTATCAGACAACGATGTGGCGTTGCGCATGAAGTGTTACGGCATGGCTCGCACCTTGCAAATCGATCGTCTTGATACGGCAAAGAGTCGAGAAGAACGCAGACAAAAGGGGTGCAACATGATTGAGGTGGAAGTCCAGAGAAGGATTTGGTGGAGTTTAGTGGGCAGCGATTGGTACATCACATTTAATTCTTTACTGAGAAAGAGACTAACATTGAATCCTCTCTCAGGCTGAACTCGTTTTCAGGCGGGCCAAACGACGGCGCGTACTTTCTCCAACCCAAACACATGAACGTCCGGCTTCCGGCAAACGTGGATGACAAGGATGTTACGGCGGACATGGTGGAGAAGGATATTCCCCTTACCAAACCTTCGGGTATGAGCGGATTTATTCACCGTGTCAAGATATCTCAAATTTGCCGAGAAGTTGTTGACGCTCTGCCGTCACAATTTCATGACGCTGACGAAAGAAGCTACAACACGATTTTACAAATGGACAAGAAATTTCGTACCTTTCTAGAGGAGCTCCCAGTTTACTTTCGGTTGGACCCCGAAAGTATAGAACGGTCCAAGGATATTTGCAGAGAGCGTCCAATCATTGCACTGCAGCGAGTTGGCGTCAACTTCAGCATACGCATACGACTATGCCGTCTTCATAGACCGTACCATCTGGAAGGCCTAACAAATTCAACATATGCATATTCCCACAAAGCTTGCATCCAGGAAGCGCAAAAGGTGCTTGATCTGCGTCGTGCGATGGACGAATGTGGCTCCCCGCTGGGGATGAATCCGGCTCGTTCCTGGATTGTAATGCAGCACGTTTCCATCGCGGCGCTTATTCTCGCCACAGATGTGTCTTTCAACCCGCTAGCACGAGATGCAGAGCAGAGGAAAGCCAAAGTACTTGCTACGTGTGAGCTTCTGGAAAAGTCGATGGAAGATTCCGAATCCATCATGGAGGGTGTTCAGCGCAATGTGCAAGTTCTCGTATCGACGCTGCAGAAACAACGGTCTCAGAGCGCAAGTCGACATGAACCTTCTGCATCTTTGTACACAGCGTCCGGTATGGAGCAATTGAGGGACGCCGCCATGGCGGATGCTGATGATGATACGGTGGCGAATTTTGTAGGCAGCACGGATAGGAACAATGGCTTTCTGGATGATTTGAACGAGGATCAGACGGATTGGGATCAGCTCTGGAAGGACTTTATTGCGATAGCGCCGGAGTTGGACGTGGCGCATTGGGACCTTTTGTTTGAAGATGTGCAGCCGGCATAGTGAGCCAGCCGCTGGGGGTTTATCAACAAGTTTTGGAAGTATCGCGAGACTGTTGGGTCAAACAGGCTAAAATTGAATATTTGCAGGGCTTTTATTGAAGGTTGGAGGGGTTCGGGAGGTCCGAGAGTCGTCAACTGGTAATATTTGCTTTTTCTAGGGTTCTAGGTTAGGGCTAGGATGAGGGTCATCGCAGGGCTCCTCAGGTGCTTGGTCAGGGGGCCAATTTCCCGGGTTTTTGAGGTCTCTAATCTTAGACTTTCCGATATCTGGAATGTCATCAATTAGAACCTTGTATGTGTAACTTTCCACTGTCCTAAATTGCTGTTGATAACTCAACAGAGACACGCACGGAAGCATCATGTTGCATGCTGTGTTTACGTTTATGTAAATAAAGTTGAACTCGTTCTCTCTATGTGTCCTCTTCCGTCCCTTGAAATAAGGCGATATTGTCACACGGCAAAGGGACCAGAACAAAGGCATCGGCCACAAAGGTTACACAATAGCTGAGGGAGGTGTCACAGATATATGGACCTCTTAGCAACCATATCGAGCGCAAACCCAGTATGCCTTTGAAGATGTTACACGGAAATGGCCCAATGTCAAAGGTTACACAAGGGCTACGGTCACGAGACTAGGGCAAAGTCCCTCACCGACTTCTTGTATTTAAAGACCGCTTTGGTCAATGAGGCCTTGAGGAAAACCAAGGACCTTTGATACCAAAGACTGTTATTAGATGAATTGAGCTATTGCTCCAAGCCCTCATTCCGAGCCCTTGTCACAGAGGACAAGACCTTGAACCTTGCCAAGGTAGCCAAAATCAGGACCATTTACTTCTCTCTGGAAACATCATGATGCGTTTACCCGGACGCGAGGACAGTAGTGCCCGCAAACGTCGCATTTAGGTATATCGAGTGCTCTCCGAATTCGCTTCGTGCGGCCTTCGCTACATGAGCATTCATCTAGAAGCGTGCTGTCCAGAAATGAGTCCAAAAGCTCCTCAGTAAACTGGGGCACACTTCCAATTACTTCACGCAAAACCTCCTTGACGGTAGCGTCAAATTCTTGCCATGCTATCCAGCGCCGAAACTCCCAAACTACAGCTTCTCGGAGCTTATCGCTTGCCGTGCTAGCCAGGGAGTATATTTCGGGTACTGATCGCAGGAACTTGCAGACATCCGTCTCTTGCTCAAGCGCCTTGTTGAACTCGGACGCAGCCAACGTTTGAAGCCCGACAATCATGTATTTGTCTGCAAGCTCAAACATTCTTGCATGAAATACAATGGGGTAACTAGCGCCGGATGGTTCAACCGAGTCTGGTTGCGTCGTTGGTGAATACTGGCGCGTGTACATGTAGTCGACCATGGACCGAACTGTGTCGATGGAAGCGTCTTTGATCTCGTAAATCCCTTTTTCTCGCTCCTGATTTTCTTGTGAGGAGAGGAACAACAAGTGGAATGACAAGTTTACCACAACTTGACTTGACTTGACTAACCTTGAATGGGCCATTGCATGCCTTGTCGAAAACGGGAGATTGGGGGCACACGATTATCTTGTGGACGGGTATCTTCTCGTCTTCACAGACGAGGAGGAGATCTGAGTACTTTCCCTCTTGGCGAGCCCTAGAGACCGACGGCTTTAGCAAAGAGTCGATTTCTCCAGGCCGATGAACCAACCTACTTGGAAATTGCTCGCAAAGTCTCGTTAATCGGAGCCTCTTTAGCCATATTTACTCCGTGCACTCGCAGGCTATGAAAGAGGGTGAATTTCGCTCAAGGTTGTAAATGTCGTCTTTGGGGGAGGATTACAGGACAGCCGGCGGCTATTGTGGGATTATATTGTTATATATGTACCAGACCTCACATACTCCATTTGTAGGGTGTGAGTCAGATCGCGGGCGCTATTTTAGGGAAAAGTCAATTTCCAAAGATGCAATTAGCACTAGCCAATAGTGGGGATTAGAACATCAATTGATGTCAAATACCCGGCCTCTTTCCAAGTGGTGAATTGCTCGGCAGGCTTGCTCTTTTGGCTCGGTGCGCTTATCACTTTACTAAAATATATACCAGTATATTCATTAATTATGAAATATATTCAAGTATTATTACTTATTATAAAATATATACTAGTATATTATAATATTATTTCTAATAACCGAGTGCTAGATTTTTCGGCTATCGTAGCTGTCGTGCGGCTTAAGGGCACATGGCTACAATCTCGCTTGGGTTGGCCGAGTAATGCTAGATAACGTGACTGCCTACAACCCTCACCCGGCTAGCGCATGCGAGAGTACAGCCCCTTTATAAAGAGCCGCACAGACAGCTACGAAAGTTGGAAATTGATCTTCAGTCCCTTCTCAACCTTTATTTACTTAAACCAAACCAGACTAGACTTTCATGTGTGGTGGCACTGGGGCCAGTTGGTGGGACCCCTCAGCGCCTTCCCCCCCGCATCTCCCCCGGACCTTCTCCCGTCGAAACGCCGCCCGCATGTGGCCAATAAGAAGTGCCGACGAGACTCTAAAATATTACCGCACTACGTCCGATAACTCCCACTACTACTACCCTGGCGGTTCCACTCGACCGGACTCTTTCATTGCTGCTTCTAGTTGTGTCTAGAATTTTACTCGGTAAAAATAAAACCAATGCTGCCATTTCCTTTCCATGCCCACGCCTGCCCCGACACGCCCCCTTGAAAGAGGCTAAAGATTATTTACTAGTATCCTTGGAATACAAATCCCAATTCGAGTCACTATTCTCGCCCCCACTCCATCCTCGCATGTCTCGTTCTTCTTCACCAGTCCCGCTATTAGACGAGAGGCGTTTGCGATAGGAAACTCGAAGCCAAACGGTCCCTTCAAAGTGACCGTGACACTGCGCCCAACCAGGCTGGGATCAATGCTCGCGCTAGAATAGGGCTTTTACTTTAAGTCCCGAAACCCCTCATTAAGGAGCGTGGCAGGTCCGGATTTGCGCCGAATTTAAGCAGTTTGATGACAATGCCTTCATGACCTCCGCGGATGGCAACCATCAATGGCCCCCCTTGGGTTCCACCATCATTTGGATCCGCCTTGTCATGCAACAACATCTCAAACATGGTCGGATCGCCAAACGCCGAAGCCGCCTGCAGAGGCGAGTGGCGTGTCTGGTTCCTCCGAAGACTGTGGGGTCAGCACTGCGGTCTTCAAGCAACAACTCGGCGATTTTAATAAAGTTTTTGTTTAAGGGAAGACAATACCGTAGGTGGTAGTTTTTCGCGCTTAAAATAGTGGCGGCGCACAGGGGCCTCGGGGGGTGCCGTACGCCCCAGGCAGCGTGTCAGAAAGTTCTTTTCGGAAGACATTCTTGGATGGGCGGGTGACGTGCTGACCAAGGTGAAGTCCTCCCAACAGATGTGATTACAGATGCTGCTTGATGATGGAGATGGAACTCAGCAAGGGCTGGTAAAGTTTCTTATCGCCCTGAACGCTTGCGTGGCCGTAAGAATAGCAGCCCTCCTTGCCATGTCAAACTTGACAGGGTTGGCAAAGGCACTAATTGCGTATTTGTTTGCGATTGGCACGGCGCCTAGGTGCTTATGTATTAGTCGCCAAGTACACAAGTAGAGTATTGACATGTTGTCTCGAGTGGCTTATTAAAGATCACGCACTATTTACGACACTTTACTTTTTAATTAAAGACTCTTAATTTTCTATGTAAGAATAGACCAATACGAAAGTAAAATACTTGTTGTAATACAACTACTTGACAGGCAGCAGTATAATATTGCCTTAAATAAGCGACGTGATCTTGACACAGCTTAACTAAGTCTCTTAGTGTAACTTTTACAAAAGAGGCAAATTTCTGGCCAGCTTTGAGTCTTGATCGAACATTGATGGCTTGCAAGTTTTCTTCGATGCTATAGGCTTCGACTACAGGGTCAATGTGACAAGGGCTCAATAGAGGGCTTGGAGCAATTTGGTTCAATTCAGCTAATAACAGTCTTGATAAACACTCTGACAATCGAAGCCGTGGTGGTAGCCCGTCGCGGTCCCGCGCCGGCTCGCCCCGCTCCCGTTCCAGCGGCGCTGGAGCCAAGGTCCTTGGTTTTCCTCGAAGCCTCGGTCGCCAAAGACGTCTTTAAATACAAGAAGTCTGTGAGGGCATTCTGCCCTAATCCTGTAGGCCTATTGTAACAGGGCGATTTCCGTTCAACGCAGGGCGTGGCGGACTAGGCTTGCTCTTCTTACAGCCGCCCCGTACAGGCTCGGCTTCATGACGAGCAAAGCAGTCCTCGGAAGAATCGTACTTAGAATCCATTCGAGTTTGGTGCGAGTCGTAGGCCATACAAAATAGCTTGGTTCCACATGTCGCCTCGTTGCCCCTGTGTGTCCCGCAGAGGGGACTACTGTTGGTTGCCTCTACCCAGGGCAGCCTGTGCGCCTCAAAGCACTCCTTGGAAGAATTGTAATTGGAATCCGGTTGAGTGTAGGCCGAGTCGTAGGCCTTACAGAATGCCTTGGTTCCACATGTCGCCTCGTTGCCCCTGTGTGTCCCGCAGAGGGGACTACTGTTGGTTGCCTCTACCCAGGGCAGCCTGTGCGCGTGTCCCGCAGAGGGGACTACTGTTGGTTGCCTCTACCCAGGGCAGCCTGTGCGCCTCAAAGCACTCCTTGGAAGAATTGTAATTGGAATCCGGTTGAGTGTAGGCCGAGTCGTAGGCCTTACAGAATGCCTTGGTTCCACATGTCGCCTCGTTGCCCCTGTATATCTCGCAGAGGGAACTACTGTTGGTCGCCTCTACCCAGGGCAGCAACTTCTCAGCCGGTGGGGCTTGCTGGGACGGTGCTGGCCCGGACAGTGCTGGCCCGGACGGTGCTGGCCCGGACAGTGCTGGCCCGGACGGTGCTGGCCCGGACGGTGTTGTCTCGGACAGTGCTGGCCCGGACGGTGCTGGCCCGGACAGTGCTGGACTGGCGGCGCCACTGCCATCCTCGGGAATAGCAGCCGCAGCTGCGATGGAGAAGAATCCAAAGACAGTAGTAAACTTCATAGTGAGGTAATAGAATAAGAGAAGCTTGTAGCAAAGGTCAACTTGAGGATTGAAGATTTTGTGCTGAAATAGTGTATTGGAATGCGAGTGTTGAAGGGTCTAGATACAACTTGAAGAGGAATAATATCGATATATATATATATTTCCATATATATACAGGACTTTCTTTGAGATTTGATCATTACGTCTCCTCCTGGAATAATTGCGGCAAATGTACTTGACGCATAAATCTCGCCCCTATTTAATATTCTTGCATTATATTTTATGCTATTTGATTTTACTTTCCTTTGTTTGGGCCACACTTAACCATTGCATAAATACCTATACAAGAGACTAGTGGACTCATGCATCATGTGCAGGCCCGTCGCCCTTGACCCTAGTTATCAATTATCATGCTCTGGTTGGTCGCAGATATAAAACTTAAACCTTCGCTTGTAAAGATGCCGTATTCCTTCTGGTATAAGTGGAGGCTTAGAGCATTGTAATTAGTTAATTAGTGTGTAACAGGCTAAGCCCAAGAATAGTTCAGCTGCGCTCTCGCCTATTATTAAACCGTTACATGTCGAAATAACAAAAAAGGCTAAGCACTAATAAGACTAGTATTTTGTTGTAACTTGGTTGTGGAGCACAGTCGACCTCGAGTAAGTATTCTGTCTCACCTTTCTCTAACACCATGCCACTTTGATTACTGGCTTTATTTATGCTTAGTTTACGAGTAAGTTATCTTATCTTCTGAAACCACCTCGCCCACTCCTATCTCGACTAATCGTGCCACTCCCCACATTAAGTAATTCAGATAGCAAAGCCCTTACCGCCTTAGATAGCGAGAGCTTTGTTCGACTAAACAACCAAATTAATGCTTTGACAATGTAATATAATTCATTTACACCCGGAGGGATCACCCTTAAAGCGCCTTGACATTACATGACCTACAAATCGTAATATTTTTCTACTCGCTTGAAGCCCTATATTGCATTCTCACCCTGCACCCACAAGCCTTATTTCCGTGAACCTACTGTCCTGCTCAGAGGCCATTCCCTCCAAGTGCCCAACGTCCCATCCTCGGCAGCTAGAGCTTGGTCGGCCGATGTGAGGCTGGGGTTGCTGGGCATTGCCATATGAGCCGTGCATCTCATACCACTTGACGGTTTCTGGGTCTTAACTCACAAGCATAAAGAAATGCATATCCACATAGTCATGCCAGTAGAAAGGACTTTGCCATCTACCGTCCAAGTCATGGGTTCTTTGGCCACTTTAGAAACCAACAAATGAGATTCATGCAATATCGGGCCTTCTAATATCATGTCCCAGATTGATCCCGGCAGTATTTGCAGCGACATACACGGTGACACGTACGACGACACGTTGCAGAACACACGGGGTTATCATAGTATTGACCCCTTGAATCATCATACTTTTAGAGAATGCCTGGGTTGTAAAGCATTACGACAACAAGGTGTCCTGCCAACTCCCTGTCCCTGACTCATGGCTGCCACTCACCTTCCTCCTCTCTATCATGGTACTTCTGTCTTTCAAACCATGATTTCTTATCGTGGGCCATCATGATAGTCAAGGTGTACGTCGATTGCATCCCTGGGATGATAATGCAGCTCTCGGCTGACGCTTGGACCTGGCTTGCCGCCTCGCCACGGACTTGTCGACGCTTGTTGCCTCGCGACGATTGTGATGCATGTGACTGTAGCTCGCCAAGCTCGAATTGAGGCCGGTCACGGTGAAGGCTCGCATTCATTTGGCGCGGCCTGCCTCGTGCGTTTCAACAGGCAGGTCGCGAATATCAAGTAGCATATCCTCGGCGTTCTGGTAGGCTGTGCAACAACAAAAGGATGTCTCAAGCTACCGACATCAGAGCACCGGGGACATGCTCTGAGCGAGGTGTATGCAGGATTCATGCGTTTCCGCTGCCGGAGTTGCTCCTGCAGGAGCTTTGCTAGTACTGGCTGAGGCGAGGCGGGCCATAGTCCAGTTTCCTCGAATCCCGACATGATGTTATGGCTCGGGAAGCCAGCCTCATAGACTTGTTGAAATTCAGCGACGAAGTCGATCCGTGAAAAGGTTAGGTTGCCCTCTGCAAGGGATTTGCGAAGTGCTTTCTGGTGGGCTGCCTTCAGTGGCTGGGACACACCAACGTCAAGCGGTTGCATGAGATGGGTGGCATGCGGCGGCAAGATGGCGATGATGATGTTGAACTTGATACAGTACTCAGTCAAGGCAAGAGTGGTATGTCCTGTGAAGCCCTCCAGAACCAGTAATCTATATAATATCTTCTCATCAGGACGATCAACTGGAGGCTTCTCAATCTCCACGCTACTCATGCCTCGGCCCGGGAGCCGGAGATGCTCGCCACATCTAAACCACTGTTCGAAATCCTTTCCAGACTGCTTTGCCTGTGCTGATGATGCCCAAGACCAGCAATTGAAATGTCTCGCCCACTCAAGGTGTATCTCAGCATTTGAGAAGCCAGTGGGTGACGGGGCAAATCGCACGCGTGTCCCGATGTCAATGCCAGCCCAGTTCGTCGTTGGGTAATGAGCGAAAACGAGCCATGGAGGAAGAGAGTCTCCTATTATATTTATCGAGGCAATTACTGTGCAGGATTCCCGATTAGCTGGGTCTAGAACTTCCGGTCGGGCAGCCTTAAGCCTGGAGGTGCAAGTAACAAGGGCTTGGACGCGTTCCCGTAAGTAACCGATGCGCATTCTGGCCTTGTCTTTATTCCGCATCTCTGAGGCGCTAATCCGGAACTTTAAGATAGTTCCCTGGAGTTGAGAATAGAACAATTTGATGTCTTTAAGTCCCTAGGCCTCGACAGGTTTTCCGTGATCGCTCCACGGCCTTGAGGTATGTTTGCGTGATCTCTGGATGGTTCCTTCGCCAGCCAGTAAGCCAATTTGGTGATACACCACTGGAATTGGGATTCCGACGTAATCTAATCGTATTTGCCGCGCCTTTAAGTTGTTCTCTTGTAGCCGGCATGCCTGTGTGTTCCATCCATTGCACGTACGCCACTAAGGCGTTATCCGCATTGTCTGTTAACGCCATTGGGCGTCATCGCCCCCGTGGAAAGGGGTTTCCTAGGAAATCAACGGCTCTCTGTACTGCAGACTTACTCCCTCTATACGCAGAGGTCGCATCTTGTATGGAAAGGGGGTTTCTTTGTGGTGTTGTGGTGCGACGAAGATCAGCCCTAGGGGGATTGCGTAATGTGAGGACGGCTCGTGTAGCCTGTAGTGTTTTTCGCTGAAGATCATTATGTAAAAACCCAAAAGATTACCAGGTTTTGACCGCATTGCGTGAGAAATCGCGTATTGAGGGCTGTTTGCTAGGCATTTTTTGCGCCAACTGAAGGGGCCTTTAGTTGGGCTGCTGTGGGCCCCACACCTCGACCAACAGGTCTGGTAGTTGCCAACAGGTAATTTTTTTTTTTATTTGCGAATGTCGAGCATTAATAACGACATATCAGGACAAATTATATCAAGCTATGTCAGACAATTAAGGGTCACAAAAGAACTTGTAACAGACTAGCCCTATTGAGCCATCGCGGGTGCTAGCCGCAGCCGTCCCGGGGGTTGCCCGGACCTTTGACCGTGGAGCCAAAAGGGTCTGGTCAATACGTATTGAACAAGTCAAGTCAACTGGCACTGGGTCCCTTTCGACTTGCACATGTGTTCAATATAGCACTATACAGGCTCGCCGGTCGCTAGCTAGGTCAGGGCAAAGCCCCAGACCATAACATAAGCCTAGAAACTATATTACTATTACGGCCGCGCTATAAGGCCTTATAATAATTATTAAATAATAATAAAAATAGCCTTATAAAAATTATTATTATTAAGTAAGTTTACTATACCTCGTAATTAGCAGCTGCGACCCACACAGACCTCGACATGGAGGTTCCTTCAGGTCCACAGCTGCTTCACCCCTCCATCGCAGAGCCGGTATCATCCTTTGCCCATCTGATGTTCAATCTCAGGCACGCATTCGCGCTCAGTCTTCTCTTACCTGCGATTATATATCTCGTCCCGCTGTTCCTCAAGCTTACATCCTCGTCAGCCCGCGTTGAGTCTGCGCCAAACGGACCTCGGGGTACAGCAAAAGACGCGACATTTCTCTCCTCCCGCTCCGCCTCCTCATCAGACATCGCATCCGATACCGCCACCATGAGCGCCGCATCATCGGCTTCGTCAATTCGCAGGATCGCTCCGCTGGTCATTCCCGCTGCAGGTCGCCATACTGCCACCGTCGTCTTCATCCATGGCCTGGGCGACACTGGCCACGGCTGGGCCGATGCTGTGAGCTTTTGGAGGACACGTCAGTCGATGAATGAGATCAAGTTCATTTTGCCGCACGCGCCGCATATTCCTATTACCATGGTTAGCCATATCCTATCCGGACATGTGGACTGATGAGCCTCGGGGCGGCCAGGGACCTCTTTGCTGACACATCCGGTGGCACGTAGAATGGTGGCATGCCGATGCCAGGATGGTTCGACATTGTAAGTTGTATTTATACGATTCAAAATGAAGGGAAACCCCTTATAACAACGGACAATGACAGAAAACTCTCGTCAAGGGTGCAGACGAGGACGGCCCTGGCGTTCTCCAATCCCGCGACTATCTGCATGGCCTCATTCAGCAGGAGATCAAGGACGGCATTCCTGCCGACCGCATTGTCCTCGGCGGCTTCTCCCAGGGTGGTGCCATGAGCATATTCGCCGGTCTGACGGCCCCAGTCAAGATTGGCGGCATCGTCGGTCTCTCGTCGTGGCTTCTCCTTAACCAGAAGTTCAAGGACTATGTCCCTGACGGCAATATCAACAAGGACACCCCCATTTTCATGGGCCATGGTGACCGTGATCCCCTGGTGCTCTACGACCTTGCCAAAGACAGTGAAAAGGCCCTGAGTTCGATGGGCTACAGCGTTACTTTCAAGACGTACAGGTATGCATGCTCCTGACCAGGCGACTCGAGATTTTGAAGACTGAGCACATGCGACTAACGAATCACTCAGGGGAATGCAGCATCAAGCCTGCGCGGAAGAGCTTGGCGACGTCGAAGCTTTCCTCAGCAGCAGATTACCCCCAAAAGGACATTAAGTGCAGCCTATAATGGGTCTAGATACAGCGCAATGAGCCCACGAAGGATTGCTGGACCAAACTACCTTCCCGATAGTTTAGATTTAGATGGTTCGTAAATACAGACAGACTTATACCGTAGACGAATGCCTCACTGGTGGCGGATGGACCGAAATCATGGCGACTTTCTCAGCTGATGGTCGGCTCTTCTCGACAGGTGCCGCTCATGAAAGTTGTGATATTTATAGGCGATTGGAAATGATACCATGGCGACCGCTGGCATCCCGTCGACTTGCTAATCGGCTGGCCACTGAAGACTCTAATGCTGCGAATAGGAAAATGGGCAGTGTTTGGCCATCGTCAACTCTTGTTTGGCACTCAGTTTTCGATGAAGCACCTCAATGCGCTGGTTTCTCTCTCCTCTCGGCTGGCACCGACGACGTTCAAGTCGAGTCCAAAGACGATGCTACGTGCCTCTTTCGCTCAGAATCCTCCCGTTTCCCAGCCCCGGAAGAATTAATCCCACAAATTGGACAGGGGTTCGCCACGTTTCAACCAACATTGAAGCCAGTCAGACTTGCTTCTGCGCCCGTCAACGAACTACTAGTGCGACACCTCCATAGCGCCATCCCCGAGAGCCACGACGCTCAATCTGATCTAATTCAGGTACGGAATAGGCCAAGACATGGAAAATCTATCCCTTGGTCCAGCAAAGACACGTTTCAATACAACATTGAAGTCAAGAGCTTGTCTCCGCACGGCTTGACCTCGGCCGTGCTCAGCTCTTTCAACGGGCTTACTAGAAACCCTTCAGCATCTTTTATCCCCACAATTTCTGTTGACGATTTTGGTTGCCGAGACATGTGGTTGTTCCTGGACTGGTGTTTTCCCCTTGCATGCTCATACAGGCTGCGCCAATGCTGGCTGATGATGGCCCGTCCCCATATCGGCCAAGCCGGCCCTGTTCCGTCTTGGTATCAACTTAATATCGTGGTACTATAGGGTTTCCGTCTACTAAACCGCCCAAACAGCGAATAACCCGGCGTTCGGCACCCTTTCAGCTTGTGGGGGTGCCATTCTTGGGGATTCGACTCGACTTGCAGCAGTTGTGACATTGAATTGACGCGCATCACAGCCCTTCCACTCCTTTCACAAGTGGCATTCTCTCATACGAGATCGCCACTCGTCCGTACACCAAATGATGCTGCTTTCGCCTGGCCAGGTTCTACATAGCAAGGTCAACCACGGCACGACTCACCCATTTACGTTTCATGTAACGTTGTCGGCACACTTGAGCTTCGGTGTCTCCATTTTGAACAGAAGTTCGGAGTACTTAGGCAGGGGCGGCAGAAGAGAACCCCACGATGCATTGAGTGGTGGTTGAAAATCACCATGGGCAGAAAATACCACCCTCCCTGACATGATTGGGAGCTAACGACCGCGCCGGAGTCTAGCATTGCATACACACGACAATATGACCTTCCGGATTCTATCCCATAGACCCCCCACAGCAAGCTGCGTGGGGAGTTGAAAGATACGCTGTCTTGTTGGAGGGTTTTAATATGTCCGCAGACTCGCAACTTGCTTATTCCGGAAGCATACTTTACCTGATTCATCAACTCCAGGAATATCTCAATATGGACCCGTCCCGGGATAAATAGAGCAGAAGCTCCCATGCCCCTCGCGGTTTTTCTTGAGCCCAAGTTTGTACACAAAGAAGATCTGGTCATCTTCCCGGCAGTCCCTGTATATATTCGCTTTCTGTTCATATCACCACTCCCAACCAACCCAGGTGGTTTACAGCGTCTTGTCATTCTCAAAATGTTTGTTAGAAACGCACTAGTTGTCACTGGCCTCCTGGCTGCTCTCACTCAAGCCGCCCCTGCTGAGAGGAATACCTCAAGACACAAGCTCACCGTCTACTGGGGTGCTGAGGATGACACCACCACCCTGGACGACGTTTGCAACGACTCTTCCTACGATGTTGTCAACTTGGCTTTTCTGAGCCACTTCTTCTCCGGCGGAGGCTACCCCAGGATGAGTATCGGCAACCTCGACGGCCCCTCGCGGGCCCAGAAGAAAGCCGGCGCCACCGGCCTCCAGGACGGTAGCTCCCTCGTCAAGTCCATCAAGAACTGCCAAAGCAAGGGCAAGCCAGTGATTCTCAGCATGGGCGGAGCCACCGACTACTCCGACGTCCAACTACACTCGGACGCTCAGGGGCAACAGATTGCCAACACTGTCTGGGACTTATTCCTCGGCGGTACTGACCACAAGGAGCTCCGTCCGTTTGGCGACGTGAAGCTCGATGGCGTCGACTTGGGTACAACACCACCCCCCTTCCCCCCGAGCCACATCTCCATCACAACCAGCACGCTAACAATCGCCAGATAACGAAACCAACGACGGAACAGGCTACCTCGCCATGGCCAAACAGTTCAAAGCCAACTTCCAAAAGGACACATCTAAAAAATACTACATCACCGCCGCCCCCCAGTGCCCGTACCCCGACCAATCCGAGCCCCTTGACGTCTGCCGGCTCCTCGACTGGGTGCAGGTCCAGTTCTACAACAACGGCAACTGCAACATTGCCCAGAGCGGGTTCGCCACCGCCGTCAAGAACTGGTCCAGGGGCATCGGGAGCGGCGTACAGCTGTACATTGGCGCGCTGGCGAGCGGCGCCGACGGCGACGAGGGCTACGTCGATGCCGCGGTGCTCAATCGGGCCATTGACCAGGTCAAGGCTATGGACTTGCCTAACTTTGGGGGCGCCATGTTGTGGGAGGCCCAGTTGGCGGTTAATAATGGCAATTACCAGAAGGAGATTAAGGCTAACTTGTAGAAAGACGGAGTGGGTTGATAGGACGGAGGGGGGTTTTTGTATATACGATGTTTTCTTTGTTTATATTACTCTGCTTCATATTAATAGAGCTTTAAATGAAATATGACCTGTTTTTATGGATAATTGTGTTGTGGTCGCTTGATTCTGATGTGGTGGCGTCTTGGTTTACGGAACTGATGGGAGCGAAGAACAATGTGTCTTTGAAGACGTGGTATAACTCAGATACTTCTTTTAAGAGCATGGTAGCGCCTACGTTTCTATGAGTTCGGCTGCTACATTGCTGGTACTCGTGTTCTTGTACAGGTAGCAAATGTGATGATGATAAGATCACCTGGGCACATGAGGAGCTCTACGGGCGTAGAGAGCCCACCCTGTACTCTCACGTCGAATAGTATTAGTGCCAATGAAGAGGCGAATGGGCGAACCCCGAGAGCGGTAACTGCTCACAAGTTCATATATCATCATGAAAGATACACATAAAGCGAAGACTTGGGGCGCATTATTACGGCCTAAAGCGGGTTGCTCCTGTGAAAAGAACTTGACAGGTGAGGGATGTTCTATCAGTATCTCTACACAAGGTTCAACCCCCTCCATGTTATTCTTCATATCCGCTGATGTCCCTGTACTTTGGAGCTCCGCCATGTCAAAGAGCTGACAATGGATGCGGTATCAAGCCAGATGAGCTGCTATCCTTAAAGTAGGTTCTCGATGAATCTGCCACCCGATGTTGGCATTACCACAAGTCCCAGTCAACCTGAATAATCGATCATGAAAATACTGAGAATCGTTGAATTTATAATATTGATCAATTGAAGGCCGGTGAAAAGGTGTGAAAATGAGGTGTAGGCCATATGGTGCTGGACCTGCTGGTGAGACGAGGGGGATTCAATACTCCGTCGGCCGTGGAGGAAGAACACGTATAACTGGCAAGCTATAATAATTATCTTCCGCTGAGTTCCAACTCAGATATACGCAGCCGTCAACAAGTGGTCAAGAGTTCTTCTCCCGTAGTCGAGAGATCCTTTGCGCTCACGGTCCCCTGTTGTTACAAAGTCCCTCAGTCAGCCCTGTCTTTATCGTCCACGAACACCCCGAATCAGGTGCCTTCTTCGTGGAATGGGATGATTACGAAATTCGCATTACGGGGACACATAATTTGGTGATTGAACGATATACAACAGGAGGCATTGGTGCCTGGAAGGCCACTGTAAGTCCTCCAGAATCTGCCGAAGGCGCCCATCTCACCTATCGCCTCGTGGCCTCGTAATCGTGTGATTCACGTGACAGCTAATATAAATGCATCTTACAATCATTAATAAATAACCGCCTCTTAGTAACCCTGACCGACAGTCAAGGTACGATTGTGAAAATCGCTAAATCGACAGATGGAACGACGTCTACGCCACAAAGGGTCACATATCCGGTAGGAATGCACTGTTCTAACTCAAAAAAAATCAATTCATGGCGCCGTTACCGCATGATGCCCGGCTCTTTCTTGGTACACTCTACATAAACACTGCCCTGAATTCTTCAAAACGTAACGGTGTCGGTAGATATCGGTTATTGATGGTTGTTGGCCAATAAACAGACGCATTGATCTTCGTTCATGGCCGTGGAATGATGCGATGTCGAGGTCATAGGTATCTAAAAATGTATAATTGTTGTGGCATGGGTCAGAAGGCTGGAGATGATCCGTTTACAGCTTCTCAATAATAGCTGCAGCGTATTCGTGAGTCTTGGCCTTGCCGCCCAAGTCGCCAGTCAGGGCCTTGCCTTCGGCGAGGGTGTCGAAGATGGCCTTCTCAATGCGAGTAGCGTACTCGGTAAGACCCATATGTCGCAGCATCATGATGGAGCTGAGCAGGAGGGCGGTAGGGTTAGCCAGAGCCTTGCCGGCAATATCGGGAGCGGAACCATGGACAGCTTCGAAGATGGAGCACTCGTCACCGATGTTGCCGGAGGGGGTGAGACCCAAACCACCAATCAGGCCGGCGCACATGTCGGACAAAATGTCACCGTACAGGTTGGGCATGACGAGGACCTTGTCGTTGTAGGGCAGAGGGTCAGTGACCATCTTGAGGCAGGTGTTGTCGAGGAGCTCAGCATCAAACTCGATGCCGGGGAAGTCCTTGGCAACCTCCTTGCCAACATTCAGGAAGAGACCGTCCGACATCTTCAT